ATAAACAGCACACTAAAAGAAATCTCTGTGTTTTCAAGGTCTCATCTTCAAGAAAACAGCATAAAGAACCATCTGCATTCACACACATTCAGGAAACAAGATAATTAAAGATCTCAAAATTTCATGGTGATATCATTTCTAAAAAATAGAGCAAAAGGAGTTATTCCTGTTGTGGGCTCAACGTTAGAGTAGAAAAGGAAAAGCAAAATTTTAGAATAATAATAATTTGTGCTTTACAAATCAATTTAATGATTTTACTGAATATCTATTCTTAATAGATATACTAGCTATTTAGAATATTTTTAATCTGTGACAGACATATATGAAAAGAACTACAAACTGTTAAAAACAAGAGGAACTCTTTTTCCTTTAGGACAGGAAGTAGATAAGTACTATAAGAGAACAGAAAAAAAGAAAAATAATTTCTATTGAGAGGAAAAAAAAAGGAAGGAGTCAAGAAGCAGGTAATATTTCAGCTGAGCCTTGAGGAATGAGTTATGGAAAAATGTGTCTAATGTTATAGGGAGTAACATTGGAAACACAGAAACATGAAAATGCATGGCATGGATAAAATAGCCACAGTCAAAAAGATTTTGAAAATTAATAAGTATAAATTAACAAAGTTCAGAGAAACATCTAAATATCAAGAGGGTGAAGGATGAAAAAAAACACATGGGACAGGAAGACAGTTTCACACCCAGTCACAAGGGTACCTCAGTTTGACTCAGGTTCATATGCTGACTTTCTGACCACAAGCATGGAAAGGATGGGCACCCTGAGTATGAGTATTGTTTGGCTTCTAACTCAGCATCTGGGTTATCAGATGAGATAACCTAAGGGGATGAGTTAAGAATTGCTCACATCAAGCACAAAGCAACCAGTTAATCAACCTGGAATGAAAGAAACTCAATGTCTGAACTGATTCCACACCTCCTGCCCCAAATGGAAGTACTTTTTTCTCATTATAAAAATAATAAACACTAGTTTTTCATATCTGAAAGACAAGTTTAAGAAAGAAAATAAAAATTAGTAGAGTTAGCCATTGCTTACAAGTTGAAATATGGTGATTTTTCTAGACTTTTTTCTACTTATACATACACACATATTGTAAAAAACTGAAATTACATTCTACTTTCTTTTCCTTAACCACTTTTTTTGTGTGCTTCTTTTAACAACATGATGTAGTTTTATCATCAGTTTTAATGGCTGTGCAGTAGATCGTTGTTTGATCGAACCATTATTAACCCTTAGTTTACTGCCAGGGTTCATATGTCCAGTTTTAATTTTGAGTTTCTTTGTTGAGCAAGTCATGAAAGACAAGAAAAGACTTAGAAACTGTTTCAAACTAGGAGGGGGGAAACATGACAACTAAATGTAATGTGGGACCCTGAATTGGATCCTGGAAATGAAAAAAGACATTGATGGGAAACTGGTGAATTACAGATTAGTTAATAGTGATGTACTAACACTGGTTCTCAGTTTGTCAAAGCACCATTGTAATTTAAGATGTTACCAATGGGGGAAACTGGGCGAGAAGTATAAAAAAAAGTCTGCACTATCTTTGCAACTTTCCTATATTTAAAAATTGTTCAAAAATAGAAATTGTTATTTAAAAACAAAATTAACCTTTAAAATGGAGCCATAAACCCACCAAACTCACATAGATATCCTTTTGGAAAATGTTAACCTTCTAAATTTAACAATAATTTATTCCATTTTAAAAGTCTGTTAAATAAAATTTAAAAACAAAGTTGAGGGAAAGCAAACTAACAATTTCTTATTGGAGACTAAATCATGGATTAATCTGAGACATGATGTACTGTATATTAATAGTCCTAGAACTATGCATATTAAACTAGGAACATTTGACTGACATTATTAGAAATACTCCATAATACATTAAAAAACCTCATTCTGCCAATTTAATATTCCATCAAGTTTCACTGTACACTGTGTTCTGTGGTTCATTACACTTTACTGGGAAAGAGGGGACATATTTAATCCACTAGTGATATTAAAATAGAGAAACCAATGTTTATAAATGTACACCTTCCATGTATATGACATTTCTGAGGGGAAGATACTTTGCCTCTCACTTGATAGATAAAACAAACGAATTCTGAAAGGCTGTTAAGAAAGGTTATCCAAAACTTGGGTATAGGGCCAAAAGGTGCACAGAATGTCCTCTCAATGGGACACAGACCCACTCAGAGATTATTTAATTACTTAGGGGAAGGTACTTTGCTCAATTATTTTATTTACTACTTGAAGCCTGGTGCACAAATTCGTGCACAGATGGGGTCCCTCAGCCTGGCTGGCGTTTGGGGCCTATTAGGGCCCAGCTGGCAGGGAGGAGGGACTGGGGGGGAGAAATGGGGCCGCAAGAGGTTGGCTCTGGGAGCACACTGACAACCTGGGGGCAGTTCCTGCATTGAGCGTCTGCCCCCTGGTGATCAGTGCGCATCATAGTGACTGGTCAATCGGTCATTCCAGTCATTATGCCATAACAGTAGCAGATTGAATTAAATATCCAGATTAACTAAAGTTATGCTAACTTATAGATTTTGTCCAGTAAAATTGTATATAATTTCTGTCAGGTATAAGAAAAACTTCCAAAGATCAGGGCTTATTGGTCTGTGAAATATTAGCCAATTTGTAACTACCAGGCAATCTTATTTTTAAAATTCTTTTATTAAATTATTTATGAATACACAACTCTTCAAACGCTCTTTGAACTAGCTTTACTATTTTACTTTTTCCCTCAGTAATTAACTAATTGAATAAAATATTTGATACATTGTAACTTTGTATTTATACTAGAGGCCCAATGCACAAAATTCATGCAAGAGTAGGTCTTCTTTCTCCCGGCCGCCAGCACCGACTTCCCTCTGGCACCCGGGACCCGGGCTGGCCTCGCAACCTCAGCTTGGTCTGGAAGGATGTCTGGTTTAATTAGCTTATTATGCTTTTATTATTATAGATAAGTCCTATTTTATTTTTTAAAACTATACTTTGGCAGGAATAAGAAAATGGTTAATTACTGGAGGCAAGGATAAATGTGAAGCAAAGACAGTATTTTCTATAAGTGATGCTGGGAAAACTGGACAGATACATGAAAAAAATGAAATTGGACCACTTTCTTAGACATACAAAAATAAACTCAAAATGAAGACTTAAATGTGAGATCTGAAACCACAAAAACTCCTAAAAGAAAACATAGGCAATAAACCCTCTAACATCACTCTTAGCAATAACTTTTTGGATATGTCTTCTTTTTTCTTTTAATTTTTTTTTATTAAGGTAATATGTATACATACTTTACCAATCCCCCGCCACTCTTTTTTTAAAAAATTTTTAAAAAAATATATTTTATTGATTTTGTACAGAGAAGAAGGGAGAGAGTTAGAAACATCGATGAGAAAGAGTCATCGATCAGCTGCCTCTTGCACACCCCCTACTGGGGACATGCCCACAACCAAGGTACATGCCCTTGACCGGAATCGAACCCGGGACCCTTCAGTCCCCAAGCTGACGCTCTATCCATTGAGCCAAACCGGTCTCTGCCCCCCCCCCCCCACTTTTATACATGCCCTCCCTCCCCAGAGTTTTTCGTCCATTGGTTATATCCACCACTGACTTTCCATCCTGACAATAAAGTATGTGACAAGATAAACATGAACACTATTCTATTATATATCCCCTGAGTTTCCCCAACTGTACATTTTAAGAACAATGAAAAACACATAAAGATTTCCTTGTTTTCACCGGAGCCATTTCTTCAGTCTGCAGGCCTATGCTCTATCCACTGAACCAAACCAGCGAGGGCTTCAAGAGATTAAAAAAAAAAAAAATGTTTTTATTGATTTCAGAGAGGAAAGAGGGATAGAAAAATCAATAAGAGAGAATCATTGACCAGATGCCTCATTCACGCTTCCTACTGGAGACTGTGCCTAAAACCAGGCATGTGCCCTGACCTGGCATCGAACCGTGACCTCCTGGTTCAATGGTTGATGTTCAACCACTGACCCACAGTGGTCAGGCTCTTTTCAAGATATTTTTGAGCCTCAATCTCTATATGAGAAAACAAAGATATATAAAAGAAACCCAGTACTTATTAAATCAGCATTAAGAAATTAGGCACAGAATCACAGAATATAAGACTTAGACAGGACTTTAAAAATCTTTCTGTCCAATCCTGTTTTAAGGAAAAGGAAAGAGTCTAGTGATTTTCCAGAGATTTGAGAATTGCTAAAATTAATATGACCTGCCCTTCCCAGACTTTCTAATTTGTCACATGTCTTTCATAATAGTTTTGTGGGTTAATTTCTTTATTAAGCCTAATTATTATTAAAACTAATTATTAAAAATATTTTTTTCTATTTGTTTCAAGTACCTCTGTTTTTTTTTTTTGTTGTTGTTTTTTTAATGAAATGGGTTATTTCCTGGTTGAGGTGGGAATTATAACTTTATTTTCAGAATATGATTAATTACACTTAAATTTTCACTATTTAAAAAAAAAAATTGGTAAGCTGAAACCAGTGTGGCTCAGTGGTTAGAGTGTCGGTCAGCGGACTGAGGGTCCCGGGTTCGATTCCGGTCAAGGGCATGTACCTTGGTTGCGGGTGTGAAGGAGGCAGCTGATGGATGATTCTCTCTCATCGATGTTTCTAACTCTCTATCCCTCTCTCTTCCTCTCTGTAAAAACTCAATAAAATAAAAAATAAAAAGATTGGTAAAATCTTAAAAAATCAACTTCATATTTCTAGTGGTACATTTTTCACTAAAAACAAAAGTCTAGACTAACATGATTTTTCTTCCTTTTTTTTTTTTTAGTAAGAAACTTGGTTATTGTCATGTCATTCCAAATGTACTTTTGGTGAATCCAAGTGGAGTAATTTCAATTTTTAGATTTTAACATTGGGAAAGAAAGCATTATTTCACTCCCACCCAACCCATAATCAGTAGTCCATTAAAACAAAAGAGAAAAGAAAATTCTGTACCCTGACATCACTTCTAGGTGAAGTTGTCCCGAGACAGTTAAGAAAGCAGGAACATCAAAAAAATTCTCTTCAGGTACCTTTATTTTGCTTGAAGGCTGCAAATGAAAACATAAGCCACAAAAAGCTATTACATGCTTTGCTCTGATTTTCACACTTACACATGTACCACAACTAAAAATAATAACACAATTAAACAATGTGAGGCCAGTTCATGCTCATAAAAATAAAGATCATTCTCAGTACACACCTAACAGAAAAAAATGTCTGCTTGAGAAATGCTTATGTCAATGAAGTTTACTTTATATTTTCAAAACACAATAACCAAAGGACGAAGTACTTTTGTCACGAAATAGACTTCTCTATAATAAGTGTTTCTAATTGAGGATCAAACCAAGGCAAGAGATTCTGAATTAAAACTTTTAAATGTGAATAATTATAGAATCTCTTAAAATTTTGATGCATGATTAAGATTTAATTTTTTAAAGGGATGTAGGGTCATTATTCCATTTGAAATGGGTAGCAAACAAGCTTTTATAACAGTCAAGGTAAAAAATTAGAGTTCAAACACAATTTAAATAGTATAACCAACAAAGCTTCTGGATCAAGTTATGACTATTACACGTAATTTTTTTGAAAGAAGCTAATTTACCAACCTTTCTTTCAAATTGTGCATTTATTTGAAAATGTTATATTGCAATGGTACAGTTACTATAAACGTGTAACAAAGTCAATTTTAAATATACAATAGAGGATAGAAGACTCCTTTTAAGAGAATTATAGAAACACATGGAATGAAGGTATCTTATTCAATCCCACTGGTTGTTCTAAAAATACTACATGTCATGTATAGGTATGAATGTGCATTAATCAAAAATCTAGTTTAAAAATCTGTACTACTTGATAGAGGTGGTAGTTACATAACATTGTAAATGTACTACCAATTGATTACCAATTGAAATCATTCCTTTATTCTGTAGTTGCCTATTATTTTTCAATCCTACTTTGATATTGGTTTTAAATGTCTTATCATTGCTTTTTAAATAATAATAATATAATGATATTACATGTATCAAATTTTATATTCTTTTTCTAATACTTATCAGTTATTTTTTATTACATTTATTGGGGTGACTGGTTAATAAAATTATATAGGTTTCAAGTATACTATTTTTGTTGTTAATCCTCAATTGAGACTATTTTCCCATTGATTTTTTTTTTTTTTTTTTTTTTTTAAGAGAGAGTGGAAGAGAGGGTGGGAGAGACAGAGAAACATCTATGTGAGAGAGACACATCAACTGGTTGCCTCCCACACGCACCCTGGCCTGAGCCTGCAACCAGGGTACCTGTCCTTAACAGAATCAAACCTGAGCCATACTAGCCAAGGCTAACTTATATTTAAATAGATACAAACACATCAGTACTTCATTATGCCTTCCTATGTCATGCATACTATTTTACATATTGAAATTCATACTTTTTAATGAATTACTTCCTTTAGTTCTCATTTATATTATAATGAATGCATTACATTAATTTTTTTTTAAAAACTGTGTATTAAGTTATATTACAAATACATTTTATTTCAGGATATTAAAAGGAAATGATAAAACATTTGTTTTACGAAGTAATTGCTCTATGATAACTGAAATAAGATAGTTGGAGAAAGATAAATATCACATGACCTCACTCATTTGTGGGATATAATGATCAACATAATTTGATGAACAAGAATAGATTGATCTAGAGACAAACAGTAGGGGAGGGGGGTTAGAGAGCAACTAAAGGACTTGTATACATGCATATCAGCATAACCATTGGACATAGACACTGGGGCGGTAGGGGCTTTCTGGAGTGGGAATGCTGGGGAGGGGGTCCAATTTGGAAAAAAAGGAGACAAATGCAAAACTTTAAAGTTTAAAGTTTAGACAATAAAAAAATGCATTTCATATAAATAGTAAAAAAAAAAAAAAAGTAATTGCTGAGAGTTGTGCCAGCAAAAATGGTGGAATAGGTGGTTCTGAAGATCTGTTCCTCCATAGAAAAAAACTGAAATAATGAGTTGAAACCATCAGAATCAACTATAGAACTCCAATAGTCAAAGGTTTATAGTAACCAAACAAATGCTGAATGGAGAGGAAACTTTAAAATGGTAGACTCCACCCAACAACAGCAGGCTGCACACTCAGAGTGCAAGGAACACTGTCTAGGGTACACCACATGCTAGGACAGAGTACAAGCCTCAGTAAGTTTAAAAGATTGAAATCATGCATATTATATTTTTTGACTAAAATAGAATGAAACTAGAAATGTAAAATGGTGCATCACTTGGTATAACAATTTTGGTGGTTCCTTATAAAATAAAGAATAACTAATAACATACTAATTATACTCCTAAGTATATTCCTAAAAGAATTAAACCTAGGAACTCAAATAAATACTTGTACATTAATGCTTACAACAGCACTACTCATAGTTGCCAATAGTCAAAGGTAGAAAAAACTCATATGTTCATCAACAGATAAATAAACAAAATGTAATATATCTAAACAATGGAATATTCAGCCATCAGATAAAAATCTTATGCTAAAACATGGATAAATCTTAAATACATTATACTAAGTAAAAGAGAGCCACAAAAAGCTACATGTTGTATGATACTATTTATATGAAATATTTAGGACAGATATATCCATAGAGACTGATTAGTGAGAAATGGCAAGTGATTACTTATCGGGCATAGGGTTTTCTTTTGAGGTAATGAAAATGTTTTGGAACTTGATAGAGGTGGTAGTTACGTAACACTGTAAATGTACTAAATGCCATGGAAATTCACCCTGTAAAATAGATAATTTTATGTTACAGGACTTTTACCTCAATTTTTAAGAAACATATATAAACAAGTAATTATAGGATCTGATAGGGTAAAAAACTACTAACATAGGATTATAAATTTAAGATTCGAAATCTTAGATACTTCTGTTAGTAATGAAGAAAGAATAAAATATATGAATTAAGCATCCAACTTTGTGACCCTGCCAATTGTGATAAATTGAAAAGTTGACAAATTTGACTACATTAAAATTTAATAACGGCAGATATAGACAAAGTTAGCGGAAGAATGACAGATTTACAAATAAAACATTTCAACACCTAAAACTGACAAGTGCTCAATGGACAGAATATATAAGTACCTCCTGCCAAGGAAATAAGAATGAGAAAATAAGTTGCTCCCCAACTGGTCAAGGAATATGATTTTCAGAAAAAGCAGATTTACAGAAAGGGATATTCAAATGGCTAAGATGTATAAGGAAACACTCAAATTCCCTATGAATAGAGACATGCAAATTAAAGCAAGCATTTTGCCTGGCTGGTGTTGCTCAGTACTTAGAGCACTGACCCATGCACTGAGGGTCTCGGGTTTGATTCCCTATCAAGGGCATGTACCTGGGTTGTAGTTTGCTTCTGGTCAGGGAACATGTGGGAGGCAACCACTGGTACTAGACTGTAGTTACTAGAGAGGTCTGCGGTAGCTTAATGGCATTAATGGCTCCAATTTTCCACATCTCTCCACATCTGCACTCCTTGGCATATCACACACTAACTCTGAGCTTGGCCATGTGACTTCTTTGGCCAAGGATGAGGTAACAAAATGGACAAAAATTGTAGCTTGAAAAGTGCTTGTGCATTTTCACATTCTTTCCTAAAGGATTCCACCACAGAGATCATGCCCTGATTAGCATAATATAGGAATTTGAGGAATGTTTGGTGAAGGGTCATCTCATGAGGCCATCCTAGATCAGCCAGTTTCTAACCAACCCATCAAATGACCAAGCCCCACCCAGATCAGGACCACCCAAATGAGCTGTAGAAAGAATAAATGGTTTTGCTACAGAGTGATATGATACAAGGGTCTTGCAAAGACCAATAACAACAATGTGCTATGAACGAAAATATATTTATCTCAACTCTACATTCCTAAGGTTAGAAAAATATACATTCTAAAAAGATGTGGTACATTTACAACATGGAATACTAAGTAGCAGTAAAAAATAAGGATTTCTTACACTTTGAGACAACATGGAGGGACCTGAAATATTATGCTAAGCAAAATAAGCCTGTCAGAGAAAAGTATCAAGTTTGACATTATCACATATGTGGAATCTAATGAACAAAATATACTGGTGAACAAAACAGATCCAGAGATACAGAGGCATGGAACAGACTGACAAATTTCAGAGAGAAGGTGGGGATAGATAAGGTGGGTGGGGAGAGATTAATCAAAGAACTTGTATGCATATATACATAACCCATAGACATAGACAATAGTGTGGTGAAAACCTGGGAGAGGTTGGGGAGGGGTGGCGGGAGTCAATGGGAGAAAAAAGAAGGACATCTAAAATACTTTCAACAATAAAGATAAATTAAAAAAAATATATATATATATACTTTCAGATACACATATTTCCACAAAAACAACCACAGCCAATATACACTAAACACTATGTGCCATGCACTGTGCTTAAGGAGTTTACAAGCAACCCAATGAGGTATTAGTAGCCCCACTTATAGAGGAAGAAGCTGAGACACAGAGGTTAAAAACTGAACTTGCTTAATGTGAGACAGAACATGAACAAAGTGGTCTGGCTCTAGAAACTCTATCCTTAGCTTCAACGTGATACTGCCACACAATATTTTCAGGAGCCACAAGAAGAGTTAACAATGGTTGATTCTAGGGAGGAAAACTAGATCACTGGGGAACAAAATTAGGATGGAATCCTTCTGTACTGTTAAAAGCTTTCTTTTTAACTATGAACTACATTAGCTATTAAAAAATAAACTTAAAATAGCATTTTTAAAAAAAGTTGGATTCTGCCCTGGCCAGTGTTGCTCAGTTGGTTGGAGCATTGTCCCATATGCCGAAAGGTGTGGGTTCAATTCCCAATCAGGGCACATACCCAAGTTGCGGGTTCGATCCCTCTTTGGGGTGCATACTGGAGGCAACAGATCAAAGCTTCTCTCTTACACTGATATGTTTGTCTCTCTTTTCCCCTCTCTAAAATCAGTAATAAAAAAAAAAAAAGCTGGATTCTGAGGT